GCAGCGGCAGGCGGGGAACCTTGGCTTCCTCCATCACTGGAGCAAGCAAGCCTCCTGTTTGCTTCAGCTGCCTGGCTGCTGGCCGCCATCTTGGTTGGCAGTTAATTTGCACATTGCCCTGATTAGCCAATGGGAAGCGTGTCGGAGGTACAGTTAATTACCCTATTTGTCTATTATTAGATAGGATGTTTTTGCTTCATGACCTTTAATTCTGTTAACAATAGTTATCTGGTAACTTTATCTCTAAGAGCAAATCATTTGCTTCTTCCAGAACATTGGTCTTATTATGGATAATTTTCTCTAAGACTGGTATAGTATCTCATTTTGGAATTTACAGAAATTGTGATTTTTTTTTTCGGGGGAGTAGATAATTCTCTAATATTCTACTTCTTTAAAAAAGTCATGTGGGCCAAAACCGGTTTGGCTCAGTGGATAGAGCCGTCAGCCTGTGGACTGAAAGGTCCCAGGTTCGATTCCGGTCAAGGGCATGTACCTGGGTTGCGGGCACATCCCCAGTGGGGAGTGTGCAGGAGGCAGCTAATCGATGTTTCTCTCTCATCGATGTTTCTAACTCTCTATCTCTCTCCCTTCCTCTCTGTAAAAAAAAAATCAATAAAATATATTTAAAAAAAAAAGTCATGTGGGCCCTGATGGGATAGCTCAATTGGTTGGCGCGTCATCCATATACACCACGGTTGTGGGTTTGATCCCTGGTTAGGGCACATACAAGAGTCAACCATTGAAAGCATAAATAAGTGGAACAGAAATTGATGTTTCTCTCCCTCCCTCCCTTCCTTTCTTCCCTCTCTTTATTAAAAACACACACACACACACACACACACACACACACACAAAACCCAACAAAAAACCAGTGTCCTAACTACATACTGGTACACAGATTAGTCTTGAGTGTTTTAATAAATTATAACATTACTAGAGGCCCAATGCATGAAGATTCATTCAAGAATGGGCATTCCTTCCCCTGGCTGCCAGCACTGTCTTTGCTTGCCGGGAGCCGCCTTTCCACCTTTGCCTTTCTCCCTTCTTCTGGCCCAGAGCCGCCTTTCCGCCTTCCCGCCTTCCCATGCTGCCCAGAGGCTCAGAGTGGCTGGGCCGGTGCTGAGCGCCTGTGTCATTGCCATGGTGACAACCCAAGTGTCTCACTCCACTCCCTCTGCTCAGCGCCTGTGTATGCGAATTAACCCACCATCTTTGTTGGGTTAATTTGCGTACTCCTGGTTGGCTACTCAGTGGGTGTTGTGAAGGTACAGTCAATTTGCATCTTTCTCTTTTATTAGTGTAGATGTAAGTGGAATCATACAGTATGCACTTCTGTGTCTGGCTTCTTTTGCTCAGGATTGTTTGGAGATTTGTATGTTGTTAAATCTCATTATTACATTGCATTCTATTTTGTGACTGTACCATGATTTACTTATCATTCTGCTTTTGATGCACATTTGAGGTAGTTTTCTAGGACCTGTATATATTTTTTAAAGTTTTTCTTAATCCTCACGGGAGCACATTTTTATTGATTTTCTTGTTCTTGCTGTTAGAGAAAGGGGAAGGGGCAGAGAGAAAGAGAGAGGGAGAGAGAAACATGGATGTGAGAAAAATATCGATCTCTTGCCTCCCACACACACCCCCATTGGGGCCAGGGATCGAACCTGCTACCTAGCTATGTGCTTTGGGAATTGAACCTTTCCGTGTACAAAACTACGCTCCTACCAACTGGGCCACTCTGGCCAGGGCTTTAGGACCTATTTTTAACATAAGCCAAATGGTATTTATTTACAGCACCTTCTCTGTCAGTTCATACTGCTTTTGAACTGAATAACAGAAAGTCTGATGTATTAGGTTAAACAAATATGCAGCTTACGTTTCTCATGGAACGTAAAGTCTAGACTTAAGTAGTTCAGGACTGGTAAGGCGGTTCCACAATACCTTTATACTCCTTTCTTTTTTATCCTTAACAGATGTTCACTCTCATGTTTATCTCCTTGCAGTAGCAAAAAAAGTTATTTTGTATCTTTGTTCCAGGCAAGAGAAAGGGATGGAGAAAGGGAAGGAGTAAAAGGAAAAAATATGTCATCTTATATCTCATTGGCCAGCACTGCATCAGAGAAGCTGAGAAATATGTTTGTTTTGTTTTTTTGTTAATCTTCACCCGGAAATATTTTTCCATAGATTTTTTAGAGAGAGTGGAAGGGAGGAAGGGGGAGAGAGACAGAGAGAGAAACATCAATGTGAGAAAGACACATCAATTGGTTGCTTCTCACAGGTGACTTGACCAGGGTCAGGGATCGAGCCTGCAACTGAGGTAAGTGCTCTTGACCGGAATCAAATCCGCCACCCTTCAGTTCGACATTGTCCACTGAACCAAACTGGCTAGGGTGAGAAGTATATTTTTTAGCTGGCCAGATTTAGGCTTCCCTTTGTAAGAAAGAAGGAGAAATGGATATCAGATAGGTGATTAACAAAGTCTGCCACACCTCTAAATCTGTTTGCTAGTACTTTTGGATACACTGACACAAACTTGTTCCAGGTTTTGCATAGATCCATAGTCTAGGCTCCAAGAGGAGGTTTTACAAAACCAGTTCAGCTATAATTTTTAGTTCCTGAGAAGTTGGCTGTGCATATCTAGCATTTAACCACAGTTCTAGGATTGCATGTAAATTTCCAGAAGATCCAGTATCTTGAGAGCTTTACTAAACATTGAGGCTATGGAGCTAAATCTGGTCAGTTTCATTGTAAATCTCTAGTAGTGTCTCATCAAGTGTGAATATATGGAGCATAAAAATGAAAGTATATATGTATTTTTGTGTTTTTAGAATTGTGATATATCCGCTGAAGTATGAGATAAATGACTTTTTCTTTTTTTTTTAATATATATTTTTATTGATTTTTTACAGAGAGGAAGGGAGAGAGTCAGAAACATCGATGAGAGAGAAACACCGATCAGCTGCCTCCTGCACATCTCCCACTGGGGATGTGCCTGCAACCCTGGCACATGCCCTTGACCGGAATCGAACCTGGGACCTTCAGTCCGCAGGCCGACGCTCTATCCACTGAGCCAAACCGGTCTTGGCGACTTTTTCTTTTAACATAACCAGGATACTATTGTCACACCTTGAGAAATGAACAGATCTGTCCTGGCTGGTGTGGCTCAGTTGGTTGAGTGTCATCCCATGCAATAAAAGGTCGCCAGTTCGATTCCTGGTCAGGGCACATACCCAGGTTGTGGGTTAGATCCTAGATTGTGGTGTGTGTACTGGAGGCAACTGATTGGTTTCTCTCTCTCTCTCTCTCTCTCTCTCTCTCCCCCTCCCTCCCTCTCTCCCTTTCTCTAGATTCAATGAAAACATATTTTTACAAAAGACTTAAAACAAACATCTGTTAATGCCATCAAATAAGAGTAAATGTATTCTAGGTTTTTGGGTTTTCCCCCAAACCACCCCTGTTTCAGAAGAATGAACAATCCTTGTACAATTGGAAGGGTCAGTGACAGATTGGAGGTAGTTAAATTTGATGCTCTCTCTCTCCAGTTGATTGAATTGTCAACCTTCTAATTGCCAGAATGCTTTTAAGCAGAGTTCTTGTTCTTTTGACTTTGAAATTGCACAATAAAATCCTTCTCATGAATTTTGAACATTTGTAAATGAAGATTGCTGTGTCTTCCATCCTCTCCAGTCTAGTTTTCTTTTCAGATCCTTAGATGTCTTCTATTTCCAAGCTGTTCCATCTATGTATTTTTTAAAATTAAATATATATTTTTATTGATTTTAGAGAGGAAGGGAGAGAGATAAAAATAGAAACATTAATGATGAGCGAGAATCAATAATTGGCTGCCTTCTGCACCACCCATATTGGGGTTTGAGCCCACAAGCCGGGTACATTCCTGGACTGGGAATCGAACCATGACCTCCTGATTCATAGGTTGAGGCTCAACCACTGAGCCACGCCAGTCAGGCTCCATCTATGTCTTGGAAAGAAGAGTTGATAGTGGGTAGTGTCTGATAAATTCCTTCATCATTCCAGTTACCATGGTTCATCCTGTGGATGGCACATATCTGAAAATGTGGAGGTTTCCAGTTCTTCTCTTTGATCTTGCATGTACATTTACTTTTCCTTCCATTACCAGTTTCTTCTGCTCTGGGGCTGTGTATTTTTTACAGCCAAACCGACCAGAGCTCTCTGGGATTCTCTTCTCTCTGATGACCTAGTGCCCCAGACCCAGTGCTGAATGCTTGCACTGTTTTGTAACTAGTGTGCCATACCATTCTGCACGGGCTGCTTTCTTACAGGGGGGAGAGGGAAAGGCATCATACAGAAGACACTGAGATTACTGGAGACAGACTTGGTGTTTTTGTCCAAGATC